TGAATGAATCAATGCAAATATGAGTATTTAACAAATTCTCGTGCAATTGTTCTATTTCGTTAATAGCAAATAGTCACTCATTTATGTGTATGACAAATATATTCGTCAATACAAGACATTGTGCATCTTCTACATGACGCGTATACACGTCATACAAATTTAACTAGTTAAACAATACAAATTTATGTATTTTAACTCTTATTAAGAAGACCTCGTGCAACTGTCCTAGAGGTTAGTTTAATGGTCACTGAATTTAACCTACGACGGATATACGCGTCAATACACATCATTTTCTAACTTCTTCATGACGTGTATACACGTCCATGACAGTTAACTAGTTAAAGAATACATATTTGTGTTTTAATACTCAAATATCAAATCCTATAAAGAATGTCCTAGAGGTTAGGTTAAAGCGGTAATAGCAAATGGTTATTGATATATACGTATGACAAATATATAAGTCAGGACACTAAATTATTCGCCCCTTTCATGACGAGAATACACGTCATTTGATCAATACAAATTTGTATATTTTAACTCTTTTTAAGAAGTCCTTGTGCAGATGTCCAAGAGGTTAGGTTCAGTCGTTAAAAGCAAATAATGACTGATTTAAATGTATGACGAATATACTAGTCATGACATAAAACTCAGCACCTCCTTTATGACGTGTATACACGTCATAAAGTTTTAATTGTTGAGCAATACAAATTTGTGTATTTTAACTATTTTTAAGAAGCTCTCGAGGGAATGTCCAAGAGGTTAGGTTAATACGTTAACAGCAAATAGACACTAATTTAAACCTATGACGAATGTACTCGTCAATATACAAAATTCTGCCTCTTCTCCATGACGTGTATTCTCGTCATACACAACTAACTGGTTAATCAATACAAATTTATGTATTTTAATTCTAATTTAGAAGTCTTTGTGCAAATGTCCTAGAGGTTAGGTTAATACGTTAATCGAAAATAGTAACCGATTTATTTGTATGACGAATATACTCGTCAAAACACATAATTTTGCAACTTCTTTATGACGTGTGTAATAATTAATCATTGTTTTGTGGTTAATAAATACAAATTTTGGCATTTTGACTCTTGTTAAGAAAGTACTCGTGTGAATGTCCTAGAGGTTAGGTTAATCGTTATTAACAAATAATGACCTATTTATAAGAACGACAAATATATAAGTCAATACAATTAATTCCGCACATCCTCCATGACGTGTATACACGTCAATTACAGTTAACATGTTAATCAATACAAATCTGTATATTTTATAACTTTAATAAGAAGTCCTTGTGCGAATGTCCTAGAGGTTAGGTCAATATTGCAATTAAAATCTCCAATGATTACTCGACAAATACAATCATCAACAGACAACATTTTGCTACTTGTTCATGACGTACTCATACTCAATTAACTAGTTAATACAAATTTATGTATTTTATAACTTTTAATAAAAAAATTCTTGTGCAAATATCCTAAAGGTTAGGTCAATATTGCAATTTAAATATCCAATGATTACTCGTCATGACAAACACACCCATCAACACACAACATTTTGCTACTTGTCCATGATGTATATACACGTCGTACTCTTTTTAATTTAAATTTTTATTAAAAAATTTTTGTGCGAATGTCCTAAAGGTTAGGTTAAAATTACAATTTAAATAACAAATGTCACTTATGAGATATGAGAAATATACTCATAAGTACATAAAAATCTGCACCTTGTCCATGACATATAGACACATCATACACAATTAACTAGAGAAACAGTACAAATTTGGTTATTTAAACTCTTATTAAAGAAGTCCTCGTGAGAATGTCCTAGAGGTTAGGTCAATATGCCATTTAAATATCCAATGATTAGTCATCAAGATAAATACAATCATCAATACACAAAATTCTGCTACTTCTCCATGACGTATATACACGTCCATAACAGTTAACTAGATACAAAATAAAATTTGTGTATTGTAACTTTTAATAA